ACTGCAGTGCTATTGTAACATTACTGCAGTACTATTGTAACATTACTTCAGTGCTATTGTAACGTTACTATACTATACTTTAAACACACTTAATACTCTTTAAATTTAGGAAAATAAAAGCTTAAGTTATGGATGTTTATTTCATCCATAACATCAGAAAATAGAACACATGACAAATGTACAAACTATATGAACATAAATGTAGAATAGACGTTTAGAGAAGACGTTATGATCCTGGTCATATGTTATAAAAAGGCTTTTGTTTTGAAAGTTCAGAGCCATTCTTCCTGTCTCATCATGAGACCTTTAGGTTGTGATGAGCTCCTCTTGCGCCCCCAACAGGAAGAACTTTACACTTTAAACATCTGTGTGTTTCTTCAGGTGCAGAAAGTTTACTTCAAGAATCAGATCCATGAATCTGAAGCATTTCTGTTGTTTCTAACAAATAATCCACAAACTGGTTTATAGTCTGGTTTGTTTCAATGTTTGTAATCTCACAGTGATGACAGAGGTGTGTGTGTGTGTGTAGGATCAGGTTTTCAGACATCAGATCAGATAGTTTTGTTTCGTAGCTTGTAGCTTCTTGTCTGACCTGAAGGCTGAAGGAAACACTGTGGGTATTGTAGCTGAGCCTGTCAGGTCAGACTCAGGTTACATTAACCCTCACAATGGAGAGTGTCTCCAGAGGGATCGATCATGTGACTCAGGGACACAAATAATAAAGCTGCTGTGGGAACATAGTCCAGAGTTCATGTGGTTTTGAAATGGCTTTACAAAATCACCACAATAGAATAAAGAGGAACATAAATTAATGAGTTAAAGCTGCATTCAGGGACTTGTGACCACTAGAGGGCAACAAGTGATGAATCAGGACTTCACAACTAAGACAGAAAGTTCTGGACCCAGATGTCCATCAGTCTTGTGTTTGTTCTCTGCTTTTTCTTTTTTTCTTTACAAATGAGTCCTGGTTCGGTCCAGTATTTAGTCCTGGTTTTGGTCCTATATTTAGACCTGGTTTGGTCGAGCATTTAGTCCTGTTTCATCCAATATTTAGACCTGGTTTGGTCTAGTTTTTAGTCCGGACTTGGTCCTATATTTAGTCCTGGTTTGGTCTAGTGTTAAGTCCTGGTTTGATCCTATATTTAGACTGGTTGGGTAATATTTAGTCCTGGCTTGGTCCAGTATTTAGTCCTGGTTTGATCTAGTACTTAGTCCTGGCTTGGTCCTATATTTAGTCCTGGTTTGGTCTAGTGTTATGTGCTAGTTTTGGTCCTATATTTAGTCCTGGTTTGGCAGACAGGAAGTGATGTCATTATTCCAGAATAAACAACATAATAAGATTAGAATGTAAACACATGAACATAAACAGTCTGAACTTTAATCAGTTCATCTGTCTGAACTCTGACGAATGACCTGGACCCGCCCCCCCGTCACAGGACCTGGATCTAATCCACCCGACCTCCAGAGACCTGCAGAGATTAAACCGTAAATCACAGCGAGGCATGCTGAGAGCTGTGACATCACAGGTGTGGACGTGAGACGCTTTAAAACAGTTTTTTCCTTTTAAAGTACTTTATACAATTCACGGGGAAATATTCTTAGAAGTACTCAGACCTTTTACTGCAGTAAAAGTACTAACACCACCGTGTAGAAATACTCCAAAGTACAAGGATCAAAATATACTTCAAGTACTCATTATGCAGAATAATATATATATATATATATATATATATATATATATATATATATAACAGTAAAAAGTACAATATTTACTTTGAGGAGAAGTATAAAGTACTATGAAATAGAAAAACTCAAGTTACCTCAAAGTAGTACATAAATAAAAAAACTGACAGTCAGCTGTTTGGACTGATGATGATGATGGTGGTGATGATGAAGATGGTGAACCTGCTGGTACACAGAGCCTCCCTCCATTAGAGTGATGAGTGATGATGTGAGAGCTGAGTGGACGGAGGTCAGTGAACGCATCGCCCGTTAGCGTCACCCAATCCCGCAGGTAACTGAGTTAGCGTGCACTTTGCTAATAGTGTTAGCAAAGACGAAGAGGAGGAAGGTCTTTGCTCTGGATGTTTCCAACTGATCGACCTCCAGCAGGACCACACGCTCTGATGATGCCTTCAGGTCGCACAGAAATAATCACCGCTGTGATTCAACAGCTGAGAGTAACGGACTCATAACATGATCATATGGAGCGTTTGAGCCGAAAAAAAAAAAGTGACGCTTTCAGGAAGCTTCACGACGAATAAAGACTTTCATTGAAATCACTTTATTTATTTCTTACCAAGATACAAAAAATAAACCAAGCTTCTTAGCAGTCTTTGTTAATATTCACTGACTCGACATAAAGTCATATTTACTTTCCTTTATAGAAACTCTCTGTTTACTAACAAACAACTGCTCATTCAGCTCGTCGCTGGATCCTCCCCCAAAGCATTCTGGGTAAAATAGATGGATGGGGATCGAAGAGAGCCAAACTAATGAGTCCTGTAACCAGACGTGACTCAGATTGGTTTCCTTCAATATTTAGTCCTGGTTTGGTCCAGGTTCCTTTATAGGTTCCTTTACGGACTAGTCACGTCCGTGACCGTGGTGGAGTTCCTTTACGGACTAATGTGAAGTCACGTGACCGTGCTGGAGTTCCTTTATAGACTAACGTGAAGTCACGTGACCGTGCTGGAGTTCCTTTGTAGACTAACGTGAAGTCACGTGACCGTGCTGGAGTTCCTTTACAGACTAACGTGAAGTCACGTGACCGTGCTGGAGTTCCTTTATAGACTAACGTGAAGTCACGTGACCGTGCTGGAGTTCCTTTATAGACTAACGTGAAGTCACGTGACCGTGCTGGAGTTCCTTTACAGACTAACGTGAAGTCACGTGACCGTGCTGGAGTTCCTTTACAGACTAACGTGAAGTCACGTGACCGTGCTGGAGTTCCTTTATAGACTAACGTTAGCTTTTTACTTTACACTTCAAACATCATCAAAATGGAGTTCATTAGTGAAGATTATCTTGATGAACAGAACCTGGAAGAATCATAAACAAGATTATTTTATGTAATAATCCAGAATCACATGGAAGCATCTGATTGGCTGTTTGTGGAGGAACCAGTGATGATGACTTCCTGTTTCAGTTCGCTGTAGAATCATTGTTAGATGTTACAGTCTGTTGATATGAAACCTGATCACTTTGATTGAATGGGTTTTTAATTTTAGGCCAGTAAACTGAATCACACACATAGATACTATCTGAGATTATTAATACTCACTGATAGATACTACAGATTGATCCCTCCCAATGACAGTGTGTGTGTGTGTTAATATTTTCAGCATCTGTCTCATGCATCTCTTCGTCTCTTCTGTTTTAAAATACTGTGACTCCAGCTGAAAGACTAATGTTTGTACTATTAAGTATTATTAGTAGTTTCAGGTGACATGTGACTGATCTCAGTAGGTCGACAATGATGAACATGACTTTCATCATGTTTGTCAGAAAGAAAAGTATAAATAATGTTAACAGGAGAACATGAACCTGTGTGATGGTTACATCATCCAGAAGTCCTGAGTTTCTATGCTGAAAATGAAACTAAATAAACAGGAAGTGACATCACTTCTCCTCTCCGTCAGGTTCTTTCGGGGCGAGTACACGGTGGAGGTGGCCATCAACGACTACCTGGATGTCTACTGTCCACACTACGAGTGGGCGGAGTCAGACAAGCGCATGGAGCAGTACGTGTTGTACATGGTGAACTACGATGGCTACACCACCTGTGACCACCACAGGAAGGGGTTCAAACGCTGGGAGTGTAACCGTCCACGGAGCACCAGTGGACCACTGAAGTTCTCTGAGAAGTTCCAGCTGTTCACCCCCTTCAGCCTGGGCTTCGAGTTCAGACCGGGACACGAGTACTACTACATCTGTAAGTACTACACACTGTGTACTAATACATCTGTAAGTACTACACACCGAGTACTACTACATCTGTGTTTTCTGTATGAAGGTGATAAAGGATGGATGTTTATATATATTGTTGTGAGACTGTAAAAAAATATGAAAGCATAAAAGTATAACCATCACAACATATAGCTTGTTTGTCTTTATAATCATCACAATATATAACTTGTTTACGCTTTTTATAACCATCGTAAAACATAAACTGTTTTATGTCATGATAGCAGTGATAGAAACATACAACCTACTTAGACGCTTTATGTAACATCGTCACTTTAGCCTTGAATAGCGCTTCGGTTCTATCCGGACCAAACCAGTTACAACCAGTTACATCCTGTTACATCCAGTTGCTAACTCTGGTACAAGATGCCTCCTGTATGTGTGACGCATGTGATTAGGGGAGGTACTAGAATCAGAGTAGTATAAAGGAAGCAGAAAAACTGTGAGATACGCCTTTTAGCCCTTTTTGCCCTTCCTTGTTCCCCAGCGTAGAGACTGGGAGAGACTTACTTAATAGACCCTCAGGGGTCTTGCCCCCTCAGCGGGGAGTAGAACACCCTTCTGCAGTCCCACTCAGATGTGTGTGTTTCTGTTGAGACAGAATTTGACATAATTTGTCGTCCAACCTGTAAAAAATGTCCTAAATTGTGGCTCATTTGTAGTGAAAGAGCTTCCAGCAGAGAAACAGGCAGTTTGTTTTAAATTACACTTAATGGCTGTGTGTGTGTGTGTGTGTGTGTGTGTATGGGAGTGTGTGTGTATGTGTGTGTGTGTGTGGGAGTGTGTGTGTGTATGTGTGGGTCTGTGTGTGGGAGTGTGTGTGTGTGTGTCTGTGTGTGTATGTGTGTGTGTGTGTGTGTG